CGAATTTATTGGGACATGGTCTACTTTTTAGAGTGTTTTTGTTCTCAGTTTGATGCTTGAATGTGTGGTTGCTATATACTATACATATGATTCCTATATAGAAAGATGTTGTTGATCCATTTCAAGCACATCTAGTAGTGGAAAGCACAGTTTTGTCCGCAAAAGAATCAACACAACAGATTTCCCTTTAGAGAAATTTTCTTCTCAGTTTCATGCTTCATTTATGAAAGTGCAATTTACATTGTGATAAATCTGACTCGAATTTACTGGGACACGGTCTACTTTTTGGAGAGTTTTTGTTCTCAGTTTGATGCTTGAATGCGTTTTAGGTACTTGAAAGTTGGAGTGATAGGATGGAGAGATCACAACGAGACACACTATTGGAACAAATACGAGTATGCTATGAGATAGCTTTAGAGTGCAGAGACTTCAGTCCAAAGAAGAGACCAGCTAGTGGACGTGATATAGTTGACAGGGTTCGTGAAATGGAGGGCATCCAGGTATGTTCAAATTTTGAGAGATAATAAATTTCTACTTTGCTATAGAACCGCTTGAGCTGGTAGAATATGGGCTTTGGTGCTCGAGGAACAGGGCCATTAGACCCATCTTTTATTTATTTATTTGCGAATGGGCCCATCTTTTATGTTTGACCATCCATATAGAAAATACGCCTGTAGCAAAAAAGTGTAACAAAAATTAATAATACTAGATCCGTTACGAGATATATTTTTCGTACAACTTTGACTATGTTTCTTTCTAAGTATTTTCTGTACCAATGTATGTGTCACTCTTGTTCGTTCTAGTCTTCTGTCACTGAGTAACTCTTTAAATTTATTGTGTATTAATTTGTATTGCTCAGACGTTTGAGAATTTCTATATTATTAGTTGGTCAAACATTTTTTTCCGGAATAAGCTTAGTATGTTTTAGGCCGTGTAGTTTTTCTTATTGTTTCATCTGTTCTTTTGTTCGTGTGCAATTTTCTCTAGTTTTTTCTGTTATGTTTTATGAAAATCCATAATGATTGCGCCCTAGAATTTAATCATGGCCTATAGAGCAATGTCACTTAGTACTTAACTCTCTCTGAAGTCTTTCTTCACAAAAAAAGAAAACTCTCTCTGAATTTCTTTCTCTCCCATGTTGTATTCCTTCCTCCCTAAATCGTAATGCACCCACGTGGCCACACCTCACATCTTCCCATTTAGAATAAGATCTAATCTTTTCCAAATAGTCTCAATCCCTAATCCATATCATACAACTGGATTCCTTATTTGAGTTGTGTCTATCAGTTTGATGTATGCGTTTTTTTTTTCTTTGCCACTAGCTGGATTGATTGAAGGGCGCCTACATGGGCATTGTTTAGAACCCTTCTTGGGTGCGTATTTCTTGTTTCCTCGATTCCTTTGAGTGCCAGATGTATGTGTAGTTAGTCTGTTCGTTGAGCTTCTGTTAGCATTGTTTATAATGAGTCATGCTGGCATCAATGGCCTTTTGATTGATTTGTGTGTTCACGGATGTCTCGCTAGCTTCCCTGGTATACAAAATCTGGGTATCATAGAAGGATTCAGGTTTTTTAGTTGTGTTATTTTAAATCGATGTTAAGCTGAATATGCAGTTATGCACTATATTTGTATGTTTATTCTGTCCTTAATTTTAAAAAGATATGTAGGTATGTATATCCGATTTGGTATGTACGTCAGAGTTGAACCAACTATAGGATTTTCTTGAACGGACGTATCTAACATAGACTCCAGCTATAAAGATTTCTGACCTGTCGCTCAATCCTTGCCAGAAATTAAAGATCCGGCGAAGAAAATAATTTTGATGATGTGTATTAATGCAGTGTCTTGAAAAGAACCGCGTATAGTGTGTTTTTAGTATATAATAGAATAGATGATACTATAATAGAATAGAAGAGATGGAAGCATAATATATCAAAAACAGAATAGAAAAACGATGGAGATCCTTCTACTGCAGGGGTCTTCTCTCAAGATTCAGGAATGATGACACAGGGCTCCGGAGATCTTCTTGTGTTATGGTTGTCTTAGGGTACTCTAGGTGTTCATGGTCCTTTATGTTTGCGTTTCAGTGTGCTTGTAAGGGTCACCTACTTTGTACTGTTTCGTGATTTGAATGAAGATTTTCTCAAAAAAAAAAACAGAATAGATTTTTTCCAATAAAAAAAAGATGAAAGCATAATACACTTTCTCTATGATTTGATTTCTCTCCAGGCGGAGATGGGTTCTTCGCTGGCGGTCATGAGCGCCATGGATGATGCTCTGGTGAATTCTTCGCTGGCCGACATAGGCGCCATGAATGCCCCAGTGAGTTCTTCCCTTGGTGTCATGGGCCCCCTTCTCAGGAAGCTAGATTCGCTGCTGCTTCTCGGTTGCCGGCTGCGAGGGCCACTCAAGGACAGAGTCGTGCTCCTCAGGGAAGATCTGGAAGAAATCAGTGTCGCCCTTGTGGAGCAGTCAATGGTAGATTCCCCCAATGAAATGGCAAAATACTGGATGAATGAGGTGCGTGAACTTTGCTATGACATCGAGGATTTCATTGACGACATGATGTTGACGCACGCCGATGCCAAGATGAGGTCGGTGCAGAGCTTCAAGGTTGGCCGTGTCAAGATCCCTTGGCTTCCCAAGAAGGTGAGGCCGTGCACGAGGGCCGCCAAATTCGCAGAACTCAGGGCCCCGGTGCGGGAGGCGATTGAGCGACATGGAAGGTATCTTGATGGTTTCACCTCGAGTTCTAGATCTCTGTTCACTGTGTACGGCCATATTCCATTGATGTACGCAGAGGCTGCAAACTACCTTGTTGGTGTCAATGACGCTAACACAAAGCTTGTCAAGTGGCTCACCAATGAAAAGGAGCAGCAGCTGAAAATGGTGGCCATAACTGGACATTCAGGGGTTGGTAAGACCGCACTTGCAAAACAGCTGTACCGTGAAGTTGAGGAGCAATTTGACTGCCGGGCTTTCGTGCGAGCATCCCGGAAGCCTGACATGAGAAGGCTGCTTGGGGGCATCCTCTCTCAAGTTCAGCAGCATCGATGCCCCACTAATTCATACACAGTGCAAAACCTCATTGACAAACTCACCGAACATCTCCAGAATAAGAGGTCTGCATTTTACTTTATTGCTTATATAATTCATTTGTAATTACCGTAGTGCTTCTATAATTATTGTTTCAATAGACACGATATAATTATAACTATGGATAGCCTCTTTTGCAGATATGTTATTGTAATTGATGATTTGTGGGAAACAACATCATGGGATATTGTTGCCAGTGCTTTCCCGGAAGGTAATAACTGCAGTAGAATAATAACAACCACAGAAATTGAGGGAGTAGCTTTGGAATGCTGTGATTATCAATCTGATAATATTCTGAAGATGAAACCTCTTGGCGGGGAAGACTCTGGGAAACTGTTACTCAACCTGGTTTTTGGTCCTGAACGTCTGTGCCCTGAACAATTAAAGGGGGCTTCGGACATAATCATAGCAAAATGTGCTGGTTTGCCACTAGCAACCATTTGTGTATCCGGTCTTTTAGCAACCCAACCAGACAACCCTAAGCTATGGCTGCATGTGCAGGAATTTTTGTGTTCTAATTTGAGTACAAATTCTACTTTGGAAGAGACACTGCATGAAACACTAAAGCTTAGTTACAATAGTCTTCCTCACTATTTGAAGACATGTTTGATGTACCTTTGTTTGTATCCGGAAGGCTGCACAATATGGAAGTTTGATTTGATTAAGCAGTGGATAGCAGAAGATTTCATCTGTGCGATAGAAGGAACAGACACAGCGGAAGTTGCAGATAGCTATTTTGAAGAGCTTGTCAACAGGGGAATGATCCAACCTGTGGATATCAACTACAGTGGTGAGGTATTGTCCTGTACACTGCACCACGTTGTGCTTGATCTTATTACACTTGAGTCCACCGAAGAGAGATTTATCACTGCATTAGATTACTCACAGACCATCAGAGGACATTATAGCAAGGTTCGTCGGCTATCGCTCCACTTCAGCAATCCCAGATATGCAAAGAAACCAACTGGTCTAACACTGTCAAAAGTTCGATCAATTGGCTTTTTTGGAATCCTCAAGTGTGCGCCTACAATTGTGGGATTTAAGCATCTCCGAGTTCTAATCCTGGAGTTTTGGGGTGATCAATGGGGGATCATGAGTTTTGACCTCACAAGAATTTGTAGATTTTTTCAGCTGAGATATTTGAAGATTTCATGTGATGCCAGTGTAGAGGTAGAACTACCAACCCAAATGCGAATGCTGCGGTACTTGGAAACACTAATAATTGATGCAGCAGTGTCTGCAGTTCCATCAGATATTATTCATCTCCCAGGCTTGTTGCATCTCTCTCTTGGAGATAAGACAGATCTACCTGATGAGGTTGGTCGCATCAGATCTTTGCGTGTGCTACATTGTTTTAACCTTAGCAGTAACTCTGAAGACAATGTACTGAGCCTTGGTGATCTGTTGAACCTGCAAGATCTTAACCTCACTTACTGTACAGAAGAGTCAGATGACCATCTGAAGAGAAACCTGGCAGCTCTAGCCTCTTCTCTTGGGAAACTTGTGAATCTCAAATCTATCACTCTGGCTCCTGGTGCCTCAGGAACAGCAATCTACCATGATGTGTGGAGCAGCGTGTCCTCTCTTCCTTTCTTTCTTCAGAGACTTGAGTTGTTGCCCCCCATTTGCATCTTCTCCAGGCTTCCGCAGTGCCTTGGGCAACTCCGCAAACTCTGTATTCTGACAGTTGTTGTTAGTGAGCTGCTGATGGAAGATATGGATATACTGACAGGATTGCCCGCCCTCACTGTTTTCTCACTCTATGTCCGGCAACCAACGTTAGAAAGTATCATCTTCAAAAAAAGGGCATTCCTAGGGCTCAAGTGTTTCAAATACACATGTGGTGTACTGTCCCTCACCTTTCAGGAAGAAGCATTTCCCAATCTTCAGAGGCTCGAGCTAAGTTTCAATGCTCACAGAGGAGAACAGTATTATGATTTTCTTTCGGGCATTGGTTACCTGTTAAATCTCAAGGAAATTGCTGGAACGATTGGGGCAGCCAAAGATGCTGAGGAATCTGACAGGAGGGTTGCAGAGTCTGCTTTCACAGACGCCATTCGCAAGCATCCAAGGTTTCCTAGTTACAACCACGTAAAAAGAGTAGACTGGGTTCATGAAGAATACCAGCTTAGAACCCAAGCGAAAGACTCATCAAGAGAAAAATATGAAACACTGGAAAAACAGCATGGAAGAAAAGAGGGAGACTCGTTACATGAACAGACTAGAATTTTACTGAAAGAAACCGGGGAAGAAACAAAGCAATGCACCAATAGCTGGTACGTAAACTACTCTTTTCACCTAGTCGGCTATTCACTCATTTGCAAGAACTATTGTACCATTTTATTTCAGAATAAACAAGGATGGGCTTCTTCATAGCCATTTTGGCACACATTAAAATGTATCACAATTAATTTGGCCGACGTAGCGGCGCACATGGCATATTATTTTTACTTTCCTTTTCTCTTGTACTGTTTTAATTGAAACTTACTTCTTGCTGTCAGGAGTTCTTACTTTCCCGCCACTGAATCAATTATCTTCGATCAAATGAAGTCAGGTATTCCTATACATTTCCCGTTCCGGTCTGAAAGCTATTTTCTCCTAGAAAAGCATATTCATTTGTAAAAGAAGTTTAATAATCATAGCAATTAGCAAATATATATAAAAAGACTGGACTATGTGGTGGCCTGCCCCATGGTGTCTTACACTGCGGTGCCCAACTAGCAGATGCATGGAGCGAATTGAATGAAAGAGGTTCATGTGGTACGTAAGCATGGCATCATCAGGATTCTCTCGATTCTTAAAACTAACCTTTATCTCTTGAACGGATAATCTGATTGACGATCCATTTTTACCTTTGGCTTCATACGTTGCGATGAGATTTCTGAAACCAGATCCATGTTGACAACTACCTTTTGTCAGTAATTGCCAGATTAATATTACTTACTTGCTACATTAGTCACTTAGGTTATTAGATTATTATAACCTTGGTTACCAGAATGTCATTCTACACCTATGTAAAAGTTGCGTTATAGTACTTTTATGATATGCTATCATCTTTATGTACTTGTTTCTAGCACTTGGGAAATCACTTTTTAGCTCTACATATCATCGGAATGCTTAAACATGTAAATAATTATCTGGTAACCATACACTATTTATTGTGACAATTGTTTGTTGCTAATATGTCAACCATGTACCCGTCAAGGAAAAAAAGTCAACCACGTACTTAATCCGGCAATTGATGGCGACGAAGGTTCATGCATGCATACAATTGCTCTCCCTAAAGGGGGGAGTTCCTGTTGGGAGGCACAAAGCTACAAGATAAAAACTACAGGTTAAAAAAAAACCTACAAGACAGTGTGGGGTACAGACCCCACTTAGAATTTTCCTTAAAAATAAGAACCATAATTATTGAAGACTGGACATTTAAGCCATATACTAGATATGGGGAATTTTGAGGCGAGTTAGTTTTCAAATCCGGCTCTGATATTTTGATTACTAAAGTTTTCAATGTAGTCAAATGATCAAATTTTCACTTGGGCTGGATTCAGATCCAACCAAGGTTTGAGGAATTTTATTAAAAACATGAATATTATTTGAATTCACAAAAAAGGCAAATATATTGAACCTACTCAAATGACTGAAATTTTGTCAATAGCACATTGAAATGAGAATCACATCGGTAAATGCAATAAATAAATTAACATTGCCCTCGATTGCTTGAATCTTGTTTTGATGGCAATCACACCATCATAAAAGAAGTCATAGAAGTGAAGCTACCAATAGTGGTAGTCGCCCTTATAAATCTTCATCTTTAGAGACTTTGGGTGTCTCAATGTGGACAAGGGCCAAACATACAACGCATAAAGTAAAAGTACTGACGAAGACAAAATGTATAGGGTGTTTATCCACTCTTTACTAATTTGATTCTCATCATGGAGTTGTGTGTACAATGGGCATAGCCCTACCCCAACATTCATATTAGATTTGCATGGTGTTTGAATAAGAGTCGCTTTTTAGTGGAAAAGAGTTAGATTTGTCCCTTAAGATGTGCAGATCTAGACTCCCCAAGGGAGAGGGGAGGGGGCACCTGAAAGTGCTAGT